TGCTGTAGCTGCCATCCATCCCATAAACTTCCTGAAGTCTGAATGCTCATCCAATCCATTCTTCTTACTCATCCTCAATTTTATCTTTCTAACCTAACCCTATCACAGCAATTCTTTCAGCTCAAACTTCTGGGATGCTGTCTCTAAATTTTTCTCCTGAATTAATAATACAAAAATACTTAAGTAGGTAGGTAGAAGGGAGATGAAAAACACTAGAAAGAAAGCGCAAAGAGCTACGGAAATAGATGTACAAAAGACTCAGATGGGCAGAGTAGGAATTTGAAATTAACTTGGCTGTTGAGACCAAACAATAGGAAAAAACGTTGGTTTCAGTATTATCAAGCAAGAGAGTTATCAAAAAAAAAAATGAGGCCCATTAAGGATGAGCATGTCTTTGAACTGGAGATTAACAAAAGAAGTTAACACAAATAATTAAAACCAGCAAGTGCTAGAAATGCCCTTCTTGCCAGCAGCGTATGTTGAGAGATGACATGTTAATGTTTCAGGCGAAATCTGACTCCTCTTTAGAGGGTAGTGGATGATTATTTCCTGGAAACACTCTCGAGAAGCAAACCCACCAATATAGGAGGTTCTACGTCTACACGGTTGGTCTGGTGATACTTGCAATGATAGGCAGGCTTAGAGTGCAAGAAAATGCTAAATTCCCAGGATCCTTAATGGGACAGACATTGAAATCTGTGAAATACTAACCACCATCATGAAGAGATTCCAGTGGATTGTGAATCAGCCGATGTGCCACCTGTTTTCGAGCAAGGTAACAAAACAAACCTCGATAAATTTATTCTTGCGTCAGTCATCGATAAAACAACAAAGGAACACATACAAAAATAACTTAGCATGTGACAGGCACCAGATGGGATAGAATCTGATGATTCAATTTCCTAGACATTATTGAGGAAACAACCTCGTATGTTGACGTTCCAAAATTGCAATACAGAGTGTACCTAGGTTACCACAAATCTTGAAGTTTAAAATTACAAAGGTACTGCACAAGCTTAAGTTAGTATCTATAGATAAAACTTGAACATTGGTTAGGAATGAATTGTTAAAGAGAGAACAACAAGTATTAATTAGGGAGATTATATTAAGGTAGAAGATCTGAATTCACAATATTGGTCTTCATGAGCACTAGATGGAAAAACTTTGACAGAATCTTTTTTTCAACGATACTAAGATCTGTACTACCTAACAATTCTTTGTAATACAAAATTTTATGCATCCTGATTTACCAGAGTATGTTCATGGACCTGTGACCACTGAGATGCAATCCCTGTTTATGGCTCTAACCATCCTCCAATCTTAAGTGACGGTAGGCTAACTATCGCCCTGAACCAAAGTCCATGTATACTTGACCTATTGCCGTTAAGGCAGGGAACCTGTACTTTTTGCAACAGCATAGATCACATTTTTAGGAGTAAGTTGGACATTTCCTTGTTGTATTTCACTGTGAATAGCCCTTGAGATAAACATGATTTAATCACACACAGACTGTCTGATAGACTAATTAGCCTGTAGTCATGTATAAAACTGAAGAAAGTCCAGGGGATATACTGGCCCAGATTATCCAATAACCACTTAGTTATTTTCACAGTGTGGAATCCTAGACATGGTAGACTCCAAAGGAATTGCCCAAGAAATTGGGCAGTTAAGAGTCTGACGGACAATTCCCTGGTGCTGGAACCCTCAAAGTCTCCATTTAATTCACAGGGTTCAGCCGCAGTTATTACTTGAGCACAAGAAGTTAGATAATTAAATACTTAGTCTAAGTCCTGCATAACTACTGACTTCTCCCTGATTTAACTCCCCACCCCACCACCACCTACCACTCCCCTAGACCCTTTGCATCCTCAGCACCCTTAATTGAACAGCCCTTCGTATCAATGGCCCTAGTGCCAACGTCAGCACCCTCCCCCACTGCAAGAAAAAACCTGGAATGCAACAAACCCTTGCCCGGACATCTGACAACCCCCAATCCCTGTCTTGCTTCCACACACCCATCACCCCACCACCAAGCTAACAAATGACACACCTAGCCCCTAGGACCTGAAACAGTAGCCCTGTGTCTCTTCCTGCATGCTGACCCGCTACCTACCCCAAGACCCCACAATAAGATGAAAATTAACATCAAAATAACACATTCTTGGGTGCCATTTCAGCCTTGCAATGTCTATTACTTATAAAACTCCTGTTTAAAATCAACTCCAGGTTTGTGTCTCATTTGTAAGCTGCCATGCATCTCTGTTGAAAATAAGCACAAAGTTAATATTACACTCCTCAGCTACACTGCTCCTTTTTACAATATACTTCTATTTCCACATTCATATCTTGTATTTATTGATTTGTACATGGTGTCCAATGCAGTTGCAACCATCTCCAATACAAATTTACGTATGCCCATCTAGCAGAGTTTCCAAGGTTTGAATTTTATTAACCTTAGGATATGTTATGTTGCTGAGAAAAAAGTGCCAACTTAACATAAACTGCTATTCAGGCACAGAGTAATATTAACCAACAGGGTGGTGGAAGCAGAGACTATGAATAATTTTAAAAGGAAAATGGATGCGCCTTTAAGGAAAATAAACTTAGGTAAAGCAGTTGATTGGTACTGATTAGATTGCTGTCCAGTCAACCAGCATGGATCCAATGGGCTGAAAGACCTCCAGTGGTATTATAACCCTATGACATTAGTAAACCAGTACCACACCACTTTAGCTGTAAATTATAAAGTAATTACTGCGAGTGGAAGTCACAGTTTGTGCTCTAAGGAACTAGCTGGATCATAAAGAATAATTTAAACTTCATTTTAAACGGAAGTATTGGCTTTCTGATAGCATTAAGCATTAATTCTGCACATATGTAAAAGCAAAAATGTTCCATTTTCCTTCACTAGAGCTTGAAATATAACTTGGACCAGTATTTTAAATCAACCTTTATTAACTATCAATGTGATACTAGCAACTGGAAAATAATGAGGCACCTCCTATCCATTTAAGAAGATGATGGGTATTTTTAAATGATAAGTGCTGTACTGTTCTGTAACAAATAAATGACCAAACAGATTCTGGTACATGTAAATTTGGAAATGTATTGACAAGTAAAATCTCATTTTCTACACAAATCAGTATTTATCAGGATGCTGTGTAGCTACAGTGCTTGAGAAATGTATTTTCCTTCTCTAAATGACACTGGGTGTCCTTAGCCAGTAAGAAAAATTTGGCATTGCCAACTTTTCCAATAATTCCTGCTGGAAGGGAGCTTTTGTGCTCTTTCTATGAGAGTGGCTTCAAATTCAGCAATGATGGACCTGATGAATGAGTAATATGTCAGCAATCCATATCAGTCCATGTAGAAAATGGTCACCTTGAGTTTACTTCTGGCTATGAAAGGATATTCCAACATGTTTCACTGCTTCCTAAAAAGGAGGGCTAAGCAGAGAAAGTTTGAACAACATGAAGTATCAGTCAAATGGCCTGCTAATGAAACTATGTGAATAAAAGGTAAGCTTGATCAAGCTGTCAAAATATCACCCACACTCCTGCCAGTGCCTATTGAATCATTTCCCAGCAAAAAAAATCAACACCTCCAAGCATGGAGAGGAGGAATTTGAATAAAAAATCCACATGCCTTATTTATTAATATTTGCTCTTATTGAGAGCTTGAAATTCACCCATATTGAATCTTTAATGCTGTGGTGTGGATAGTGTCATCTCTTCTAAATTGCTGTCTTTTTACTCCCTCCTTCCACCACATGCATAACGGACTGGGGCAGTCTCCTTCAGGTGAGTAATTGACTGTGTATGTCCCAGTCCATTCTAACTGGTGCGATTCATACCACATTTATTTGTATGAGTAAAATTTCCACCTAGAACAATACAGTCATTTTCATCACAGTTTTTTAATTATTTATGCAGATTCAAAATGGTTGTATACATATCCCTTATGGATTTTTTTTGGACAACTGGTTACTTCAATAACCTAACATTGTAGCATGTGTACTTTGTAAAGGCTAAAAACAAAACTAACGCCATTCCTATGTTTATATTTCTTTGGTTATCCTGGCACGTTATGAGTTTCCTTGCATTTCATATGCTGAGTTAAACTAATATATTATATTTCTTTTTTTTTTCAATAAATCCTTATTAATCCTGCCTGGAGGTTGAATTTACTGCTCATTCTTCCCCTTCTAATATTTTCTTGTTGAATTAAGATATTTATATTTTGTAAAAACTAGATCAGTTACTTAACAAATTGTGAAATTTTACGTGAATTTGTTCTGAAAATTCCTGCTGTAGGTTTATGCTTTTATTCCATCTAACCAGCAATCATTTTATTGCTTTCATCGGACCATTCAATATTCTTTGTTGCAAGACTGGAGTTGTTAATGATAGAAAAATAATTATTTCAGAAGCAAGTATGGATCAATTGAGAAAAGGAACAAAACTGGAAATGTGGGGTGGCAGGTTGAGAGGGAACCAATAATAATTTTTGATTTACTCAGTTCAGATGAAGAGGCTGTTCCCGAGATGATATCTCTGTATCTGTAGCACTCTCTGAACTGGGTTTTTTAAACATCTCTTAAGGTGGGCTTTTTCTTTCATTTTGATAGGCTGATATTGCTGACAGTAAAAGCAAGGTTTGGTCGCCAGCTATATAATGTGTACACATATTTACCACATAAGGGAAGGGGCACTGGATTTTGAAGCTCTTTTTAATCCAATGTGTCAGTAACTTAAATCAGAGGTACAGTTTATTTGCATTTGACTGAAGCACTCAGAATATAATCAATGATTGCATTTCTTGGTCAGTGTCCAGAATATTGAATGTTGGAGTAAGGAGGAAACTTTGTCTGAGGAAATTGACTACTGGCAAAAACATTTTAGTGGATAAGTTGTAGATCTGTTCCAGTTTTTTTTTTAAATACTATAAATGATAAATATTCAAGATTGTAGCAAAATAACAACGATTTTCTGTTTCAACAGATCATGTGCCTAAAAGGACAGAGGGGCTTCTCAGGCCCACACACTTTTGATAGGATCCATATTGTGAACCACATAGCAGATGATGATTCATTCCACTCCTCTGATGAAGATCTAATTACTGATTCCATGAGGGTTCGTGATCTGCGGGGGGTTCCTCACCATTTTCACCACCTCAGCAGAAATGCGCAAACGGAAACTAATGATAAGGACAGTGAAGACAGTACTGACAGTGATAACGAGGATGGAACAATAGACCCTGGTCTCTATAACCAGATTAGTAACCAAAATGTCTGCACAGTGAGTCAGAAACAAGTAGAATCTTTCTCCACCACCGTGTGACCATCACTGTGAACACATGAGGCTTTCTGGTTCATATCAAAGACCAGGTGAGCTCCAATCATTCAGACCTGAACGAAGCTTTCAGTCTGGCCTGCTGATTAAAATAAAGGACTAAAGTGAGGAATTATCTAGGCATCTGCCATTGAAATGGTGACGATGATGTACTGAATTTCATTATGGATTTTTTTTGGGGGGGGGTGCGTGGTCACATTACCTGTTCTTTTGTCTGCCTTAACCTTTGCCAAACCTTTCCAATATGGTTGTTGTCACCACATGCTAGTATGGAAAAGAGCGTGTGAAACAGACAGGAGATAAGATGTTGACAGTATTATATACAGTATCTCCTTTCTTAAAACTTGAAATGCACACTTTCTAATTTATTTAGAATGGGAGATTTTTTTTCTTTTGCTTGATACTTCAGTCAGAGGAATTGGAAGCCCTTGGGACATTGATTGCTTATAAAAAGATGCATCATCTTGTGCAATATTGTATTTTATGCTAATGAGGACAAATTTTACTTGGTTCGTTTCTGTCATAAACATGATGATTTTAACGGAGGATTAATTAAATGCATTAGTGCCTTCAAGGCACATTTTGGTCAGTAGTATGTCAGCTGATGGTTTTAATTGGGCATCACAGTGCAAAGAATATGTGCAATTGGAACATATTTTTAAAAAGATAACAGCTCATGGGCTTGCTTAGGATCCCAGCACAAAAACTTGTATCTTACAGGGAGATACTTTTAAAAGTATAAAATAAAATCAAATGCTCAGATTTCTGTTTATAGATCTTTACATGATTTTGCCCTTTTAATTTGTGTTTTCATTTGAGGTGTTTGTTAACAAATAGTAATGTACCTGTGGTATGTGTTACAGCAATATCTAATTTTGTGTTACTTTGTTATGATGGAGAAATGTAGTTAAGCTTTAATATAAATACCTTTTAAATGTTAATTGGGAATGCATTGCATTTCTTTCATTG